GTCACTGTATTTGTCAGGGTTCTCTAGAGCAGAGAATTATAAAATGAATCTTCTCTGACTACTGGAAGAGTATTTATTGAATGATTTGCATGCTGTGATCCAGCTAGTCCAACAATGGCTGCCTATAAAGACAAAATCCAAGAATCCAGAAGTTGCTAAGACTATAGGACTGGTTGTGTCAGATGGTCTTCTGGACATGCTGGAATCCCGAAGAAGTAGGCTCTAATGCAGTGGTTCTCTACTTTCCTAAGGCTGTGAGACATTAATACAGTTTCTCATGGTTTTTTGACCCCCAACCATATAATGAATTGCATTGCTACTTTGTAACTGTATTTTGCTACTGTTATGAATCATAATGTAAATATCTGATAATCAGGATATCTGATATGTGACCCCCAAAAGAGTAGAGACCTGCTGTGGGAGCACATTCAGCTAATTCAGCCAATAGCCTTTAAGATACCAGACCACTTGGGCATGGTCTCTTATAGTGTAAAATCAGCCTTAAAGGTGCACCAGCTCTCTTGCTTCCAGCTCCAGCATTTGTTAGACTCTGTTGCTGTTTATACAGAGGACTGTTGTCTAGTAATCTGTAAGTTTTCCCCTTAAATAAATAAGCCTTTTATTATTCACAATTCTGAACTGGTGTGGGATTGTTTTGTGACTTACGTCATCAGAGATCCACAGGTTGAGAAACTTTGCTCTAATGCCAGTGTAGGAATGAGGAAAGCAAGCAGGCAAAGAGCAAGTCCTGCTGGGCCTGTCACTCACTAGTCCAAGAGCCCACTCTCAGCAAGGCTGATCCATCTAAAGCACTGCTAAAGAGGCTGCAGGAGACAGTCTTTCTCTACTGAGATAATGTGCTTTTCCTTCCCTGGAACTCCACTCTGTGGTCACCTGTGGAGCTGCACCAAGCAGTCTGTGAAGCTGGCTGGCTTTTCTGAGTGCTAAATCAGAAGATCTGAGCTTCTTCATGCTCTTATTCTCCACTTTAGGGTGCTGGACAAAGGCAGACTTTTTCACTTCTTCTCCGGACCCACCTTGTTGCTTGCTGTCCTGTGACTCCTTGTTGCTCCTCATGGTTGAATGGATGTGTTTGACTTAACAGGATTTTCTCCCTGTCTTCTCCATGTTTCTTTACCCCCACAGCACACCCACAGTGGCTGCCCAGATTTTCTCCAAAAATTCAAATAATATTGTACTTCAAGATTTTTGGGTTTTTTTTTTTTTTTGGTCTTTTTTGCATTTGTTTATTTATTTCCATTTTTAATTTACATACAGTTTGTTTATATTTTCAAAGATAACCTTTTTTCTAACATACAATTGATAAATATGTAAGATAAATATCATACTGCTATTTTCTTTTTTAAAGTAAATTACAAACATCATAATCCTCAAGAATGAAAATACTTTGTGTTTTATTCCTGATACAAAAGCAAAATTACATAGCTATTTTGTTGTTTTTAGATTGAAAAACTTGCCTAAAATTTCCCAAATTATGTAATATAATTTTTTTATTTTATATGAAACAATGTTTTAAATTTTCCTAATAATGTAGCATTAGAATTTGAACATAGCATTTTCTATAGAGCTATTTCTGGCATTTCTTTCAGGAATTTTTTTATTCTATAAAAATTTTTCTAAAGCAGTGTGTGCCCTAAATTTGGAGTCATCTCACTGGTACTTAAACATATATCTTTTGAATACTAGAGAAAACTGTGGTTCTTATGCTGTATTAAATAGTATATCTGTAAGGTCCTTTTAGTCCATGTCTATGACATGTTTGAATTTATTATTTTAAGGAGACTGTAATAATAAAATCATTTATTTAATAAATGAATACAAGGAGAAATCATAAAATATCCTTGCTTTATGTCTCTTACTAGTTACCTACAATCTGTGGTTACTGCTTTTTAAAGACACAAATCTAAATATTCAAAACTACCATTCATAAATGAGAAGTTGTATGAAACCTTTGTAATTTTAGGTCTAGGTAATATCACTTTCTGGAGTTGGGGTCCAGCTTCCACTGCATCTCCCCTCCCCACCTACCCTTTGAACCACACTGGATCTGAAAACCCCAGGCTTTAGCCCCACAGGGAACTTCCTTAGCTGTGTACATTGAGAGCTGTGCTGTTAGAGTTTCCTTTGTTCTGGGTCATAAGAAGCATGGTCTACAGCAACTTCCTGTAACTCACTAGAGTTCAAATTACCAGATCAAGAGTGGACTAGAAGCTAAACACAGACACACGCACACACACACACACACACACACACACACACACGCACACACACACACACGCACACGCACACACACACGCACGCACGCACACACACACACACACACACTCAATATATATGGACAAATGACTGACTTCCATGCTACAATCATCCCACAATGCATGCTGGTCTCCAGGCTCACTCAGTTCCTGTGACTCCTTTCAGCTTCTCTCCTTGGCCCTACTCTAAACTCCAGCTCATTGGTTTCCCTTTCCCAGCCTCTCATTCCTATTTAACCCTGCCATTTTGGCCATGTTCTCTCTTTATCTTCCTCTCTTGGTTCTCCTCTCTCACTCTCCTCTGCTCTTTATTCTCTCAAGGCCAAGTTGAATCTGCTGGCCAGGTTTAGTCTACTCCTTCCTCTCCCCACTGTGCCCTCTTCCAGATACCTCTGGCTGCTCTTCCTCATATCTACCATAAAACCTTCCCCTCAAACCTACAGGGAAATGGTCATGTCCTTACTTTATGCACTGACCAAACAAAAACTATGACTCATGACTTGTCATTTATTCCCTGTCCATTTCCTCTTCTTCGGCTATACCTAAGTATGGTATACTCCAATAGAGTTACAAACATAACAGAGGCTCCAAGCCTCTCCTCTTCTACAGAGAGCGAGCCACTGGGCAAACCAACATTAATGAGGATCAACTTCTCTGTGATTCCTCTGTGAATCTCCTCTCTGCTCTTTCAGTTTGATTGCATTAAATACATACCTATTTATCCCTCTTTCAGGAGCTCTGCAATGGCTTTGTCTTCAGCAAGCACACAGAAGACGTGGCAGTCTCTGCAGCACTAATCTCTGAGTGGAGTCTCAGCTACAGGAAGACAGAAGTTGAAACTAGAGAAGAAGAATTTCTGCTCTCGATTCTATGCTGTTCGCAATAAGCCCAATTATAACTGTTTCCCACTTGTCAGGTGGCTTGTTAACTTCACCCATTGGAGTAGAACAGCCACTCAGGAAGCACATGAAGTTCTTTGTCTCTCAGAGAAATGGAATCACAGATAGGAGGGGGGAATTGATACATGGGAGAAAGTGTAGGAAGAAGAAGCCTGCCTCCACCTTAGGCTTAAACGCCATCTTATAGTAAAGACGAAATAAATCCATTTCTGTTTATGGTTATGCCCACCTCTATCCTGAAGTACGAATGGTTCTGTACTGTCTGTTGCAGGAATGGGAATCATGTCTTAATTTCTAAACATTGTTTATAACCATCTTGCAACCTTACCTTTGTTTTAAAAAGGTTACATGGCTGTAGTGATATTTCATTTGTATTTTAATAAATAATGCTTGTCTGAAGATCAGAGAGTAAAGCAGCCACACTGTTCAGCCATACAGACCAAGCAGTGGTGACACACACCTTCAATCCCAGTAGCCACTCTAGTCAGCCATAGAGGCCAGGCGGTGGTTGTACAAACCTTTAATCCCAGCACTAGAGAGGAATATAAACAGGAGAAGACAGGTCTCAGCTCTGTCTCATTCTGAAGATTCCCGGAAGCGGGATTGCCATTTCAGTCTAAGGTAGAGGAAAGAGCCAGTTTCTGGCTGCTTTGCTTTTCCTATCTTCAGGTTGAACCACAATGTCTGTTTCTCAGTTTTTATTAGTCTTGCTACATATTATTACTACCTTTTGACTCCCTGTTGCTCATGACTACCTCAATATGCCTACATTGCAACCATGTTTTTGTTTAAGGAACCTGTGTAGCACTAATATGTAAGCTTATGTTCTGCTCCTGTAACCCCACCACTTTTGTCTGTCAAGTTCACCATTTGGTAACTCCCTTGATGTGGGAAACTCCCTTGTATGCCGTGATACCATTGGTTAATAAAGAAGCTGCTTTGGACCTATT